ACCATCACTTTGCCTTCTTCCTTGGAACCGCACCAGCCCTTCCAGGTCATCATCCGCTACACCACCATCGATGCGCCCGCGGTGAGTATGCCCTCTCGTTTCATCCATGCCTTCATCATGCATGGCATTTCCACCACTGAGGAGGGCTCAAGGCGGCTGATCCTCTCCAGTGTAGACAAATACAAACAAGTCCAACCTGGTCACGGCTGGGTGGAATCATAAAACTGAGTTTGAAAGCTGACTGTAAAAAAATTGGAACGCGTTGCAATCCAAAGGTTGAATTGGGAGGTGAGGGAAGGAGAAACCCGGGAGATGAAAGGTCATACAGGCTACGGAGGATCCACCTCTGAGAAAGGCCATACAGGCTACAGAAGATCCACCTCTGATGGCAATAATAGAAACCTTAGTTAAAGGATGGGCTCCCATTGCAATAACAGACCCCTGAGTCTAAGAAGATGCCAGCGTGGTTGAAGAAGATGCTTGAGGAAGCTCTAAACGGCAGACATGGTTCCTTCGGTCAATGGTAGGCTTGCCCATCTCAGGGGAACAAGGAACATGAGCTCTGAGATGAGAAATGCAAACTAACGACACCAGGGGTGCAAATTAAAAGTAAACATTGAGGAACCTATCACTAGAAATATTCAGATCAACCGTGAGTCGTCTTTGAATGTACTTCTTGCTGCCAAGAGATGAAGTTCAAGGATTTGTTCAGAACAGTTTGTTGGGGGCCAAGTGCCATCCGTTTGGCAGCTCTTGAAGAAATATGAAACTACTAATCAATAAAAGCAGGCAGCACCCCCTAAGATCTCAAGACAGGTAGCAGTGTTAGTCTTTCATAGTAAAAACAACATAGAGTATCGTTGGCCCTTGTCCATTAAAATCCCTTTTCCATTTCAAGAGCCCGTGTGAATAAAAGGCCTTTTTGTTTTTACATGCCTTCATATTTTAGTTCCCTCTTAATGGCTGTTGTGTAGTTTGCTTATTTTACCTTGAAATGGTTTTTTTCTGGGCACACCATGTTTTTCCCCAAACTGATGGGGGGGAAAAGCACTGGCATGGGGCCGTGCTCTGTATTGGTCATCCCGTTGGTTGCCAACATCTGGTCATCTCCATCATGTGTTGAGTATAAATTTGCTGGATTTTAAGCCAGGTTCACCCGCGCAATTCTTACGTATAATGGTTGTTCTGGGAAAATATCATTTTTAATAATCTTCTTTCATCTTATGGCATGAAATGTCACTTTTTTTCCAGTTAGGCTCTCCAAAACAGCCTTGTGGTGTTTTGCCAATAATCTTTGTTCTGTACCTGCCTGTTCTCCCCAGTTTTCTTTGTTTTCAAGATGGCCTTTGGAATAAACAGAAGTGGTTCTTGTTCTGCTAAAGTAATACATTCTTTCTTGCTCAGTTCAGCATCTGGAGTGGTTAGCTCCGGATGGAGTATTAGATGAAAGTTATCCCATCCTTTAAAGCTTTTTCCAGAACCTGTGGAAGACAGAGTCTGCTGTTGCAATAAATCTCATCTCTTCGCTTCGGGCCATCGTTTGACTTAATAATAACTTATTTCCATCAGTGTGTGTAGTGTTTCATGGAGTGCAAGAAGACAGATTCCTTCCGTGAGGAGCTTATAGACTAAAGATTTCACCTGGATGAAAGAGGAAAGAATGGAAATGATGATAAAGAGAACTGCTGTTCAGATGTTATTCTCAGGGGTGTCGTCTCCATAGGGTTTCGTCATTCGCTTATCTTATATGGGATATTCTGCATGCACGTGCTCAGTTTTTAGAGGTCTCGCCCTTTCTCTGATGAGTTGGAGGATCTGAAGGGGGACTTCTAGTCATGCTCGAACTCAAGTCGTATTATGTGATGATCAGACACAGCTGTTGATGACATTGAGGCTTCTTCCAGATGATCAAATGAATACTCAAAAATGACCTGTTTAGGCCCTTCTGCTATATGTGAGAAGGCGGAGGGGTTGAGTAAGGAACATTTATATGTACCAAGCTATATTTTGGGCCAACAACATTATATGCATCTATATCCCCAGGGGGTGTGACCTCGATGACATGGTATCCCCTGTGTGTTGTGAAGAATGCTATGCCACTGGTTGCCAGCATGTGTAAATATGGATCAGAAACTGGTGGTGTGCATTCCATAATAAGCTTCTGACCGGCCACCACAAATCAATGTGGAGTGACTCTCTTATGACATGCAATGTCAGTGACTCTCTTATGCCCAAAGAAACATGTTGAACAGCAACAGTTAGAATCAAGAACACAACATGCCAAGTTGAGAGAGTTATAGTGATTTTTGTACAAAATGATTAGAATTATCTGAAGAGTATGAAACCAGATATCCACGGTGTAATGTGTATAGAGAAAAAGCTGGTGCATATACAGTACAGTGGGTAATTACAATTATAAGCACAGAACGTCTATATACAGCGAACCTTGTATTGCATTCCTGTCTTGATCAGGGGGTTGGACTCGATGGCTATTATAGCCCTCTTCCAACTCAAATCATTCTGTGATTCTTCTACAGACCCTCAATGGAACAGGACATGGATTGAAATCTGTGTTTCCCAACCTGGTGGGAGGATTGTGGGTCTCCTTATATGTGTTGCAGCCTTTGTTAAGAAATTTCTTCCTTGATCTTTCAGAGCCAGATATTAGTTAGGATTTGTATGAGAAACATACTTTATTGCTTGTTTTGAAGATGCAAGGGAACTTGCAAGCTATTTAAAGAGCAAATCATTACTCCCGGACATTTCCAGATGTGATGGATTACCTCTTTTCACTTCACAGTAATTTTGAAGGGGATCTGGTGTAAGCCAAATACATGCATGCATGCATGCCTGCTTGCCTACCAGACAATTTTTCCGTATTTTTAGAAACATAAATAGATTTTCTTTCCCTTGATTCTCCCATCCTTGGTACTCTCTCAAGTGGTAGTGATTGTTTTTATTTTCTTGGAAAAAAAAGTCAGCCTTTTTAGATTCCAGCTAAGTTGGTGCGGAGCCCCTTGTTTGTGCTATTGCATGCTTTTCTTGACAACAGAACAAACCACACTTGTCCATCAGGTTATAAAAAGAGACAGTGGAATGCCCTTTTCTCTGTGAAGCCTCTTGGAAGGTTGCCCATGATCAGGGCAGCTGGAGACCTCTGTGCCATTTCGCTGGAGCTGTTGACACAAGGCTGGATCAATTTCCTTCTGTTTTTGTACGCTCCCTTCTGTTCTTCCAAATGAGCGGCATAATCCAGTTTGTGTCTGTTTCCCTTTTACTTGAGCCGTTTGCTTGGGAAGACTTAAACGGCCATGACTGAAGAGTCTAGCTATATGGTAGCCTGGTTTGCAACTTTTGGGTCAGGAGAAAATAAACATTTTTAAACTACCTAGATTCCCATCAAGTGATAATGCCTTTTTGAATTATGCAGTCTGGCCTTGCCTGTCATTGGGGGTTTGGGATTTTCAAGCAGCAGCTAGGAAGGGAATCTAGTTGCTGATATCTTAACTGTCTAGTTGTTGCTAGTCTACAACTTGCTGTCTACAAGTTGCTGATACCGTAACTGTCCAGACAGAAAGTAGGCCAGAAGGGGGAAAAAGAGGTTTGGTCTAAGGCAGAGGCATCTCTATAGGAGAAGGCCGAGTGACATTTCATGGGCTGTGTTATTTTTTTCCCAACACAATGTGAGGGTTCGTTTGTAGGGGCTTCAGTCACACCAAATAAAGTATGAGACGGTTTGAACTCAACAACATTATCTTCTGGTTGTTGTGGGTTTTTCGGGCTTCTTGGCCGTGTTCTGAAAGTGGTTCTTCCTAACATTTCGCCAGTCTCTGTATGTGAACTGTAACATTATCTTCGTTTACTAACGTTCCAACATTAACTGCAACGTCCCTTTGAACAGGATTTAACGTCTCTTGCTGTCGAAACCGTAACTGCAAGGGTGTCCAAACATTATTAACAAATGGGTTTAGTTCGTTGAACTCCCACGGTCCAGATAAGACTTTCTCTGTAACCAGGGGGTCGCCTTCATCTCCTTCCGCAGCTAGTAACGGTAGGGTCTACTCATCTCCGCTCCAACCCCAGAGCAGGGAATTCCCTCTCAGACTGGCCAACCACGGTCCGGGAAGACTCCCATCTTCTGGAGCTTGGAAAGATGCCATGTCTTCTTGGCCTTGATAACCCCGTGCCACCGCCTCACGTTCTTCCCGGAGACGGTGCCTCCACTCCTTTGCCTCCATCTCTCCCCAGTAGGAGGGACGAGGGTGTTGTCCCTGGCACCTCCGCCGTTCAGCCTCCTCGTGGGGAACCTTGACTTGTTCCCATTTCCCTGTCGAGGGATCCTGGACCCAAATCTTTTCCCAACCTCCCGGGATGTCGTCCCGCTTCTCCCTTATATCCCCTACTTCCACCTCCACCGACCTTTCCCCTTTCCCCGCCAAATCCTCACCAGTTTGCACCGCCACATTTAACCCTTTTATCCCCAATAGCAACTCCTGGGTATCCACCCCTTGATGTTTCTGTCTCTCTCTGTCTCTCAGCTCCTCCAGCTCTTTAGTGCCCACCTTCTTACTTTCCTTCCTAGGTGGAGAAGGCGGAGGGGAGGTCTGAGTCTCTTTAGAGTGAGATGGGAGCGACGGCACTCCCACAAATGCTTCCTGGCCCTGGCCTGGGGCTTCACACACAAAGATTAATAAGAGTTTAAAATGTGAACTGTAACATAATTGTGCAAAAATTCACTTTACATCAAGTGCATATATTGCTGTGGCTGCTGAAAAGGCTTGGTTGATGGGAGCTAAGCCAGAGTAGCCTTGTAGCATCGTTGCAAATCCCACTGAACACAGAAGATACCTTTATTAAGTGCAATTGTTAGCGTTGCAGGTAGTACATGTAAGACCTAGGTAAGCTGCTGATCTATGGGCCCTTCTCAGTGAGGAGATACCTCCACTGGATTTCTGATTGGATTCTGCAGTTGGATTCCTCACCCTTTGATAGGGCAGCACAGATGACCAGATGTGGTTCCACACAGTGACCTCTTACGGCTACCATTTTGAAAACATGGCACAGCTTTTTCCTTCTTAATAGGTTTCCTCAGAAAAGGGGTGGGAGAGATGAAGGAAACAAATGTACATTTTAAAAATCAGAGAGGGATTTTTGGATGATTTTTTAAAAATGATTTTTAAAAAATTTAAATCGTGATTTAAATCAAGTTGGGGTGTTGTTGTTTTTTGAAAAATCATTGATTTTTATCCATCCTGTTGGGAAAATGCAGGAGGGCTCATAATAGAAGATGACTTTGTTTGGACCCTGTCTCCTCTCAACGAGTGAAGCAGGACAAATACGCGATAAAAGCCTCCACTGAAACATCTGGGTTACCAGCTGAACTCTCTCTCTCACACACACTATAGCAAAGACAAAAACAAAATCATGTGAGTCTCATTCAGTATAAGCAGTGTTCGCTATGTAATGTACACAGTGGCCATAGTTGCCAAGTCCTGTTCCTCCCTCTGGGCTTTGCATTTTGATCATGTTGTGGTTGCACATTGTGAGGCGGGTTGCAGATCGGACCGCCACAACTCATCGCCGTCTCCACCCTCGAGGAAAATGAGAACCCTCTTCCCCCCCTTTCAGTTGCTGAGAAAGGACAGACAAGGATGGAACCAACATACTGACTGCTACACAGAAATATTCATAATCCTGAAAAAGTTCAGTGTCGCTGACAGGGGTATTCTGATGTGCAACGTCACAACAGAGGCACAGCTTGAGGGGGAAGATAAAACACGACACCCTGCTTTCAGGAACACAAAACAGATGCTCTGCGCCCGTAGAGGAAAGCAAAACGGGGCAAAGAAGGCCAGAAGGGCGGATTCCCTGAATGCTTGTTTTAATTCATGTTGTCCCTTTTACACACACATGGAATCGTCTTCAGTACTGACGTTGTGTTTATTTCCGCCAGGTTTGTCTTCATGCATTCCTTCTTTGTTGTCCCATCAGATCTGGTGGTTAGATCCGGAGCTGACGTACGGTCACGCCAAACCGTTTATCTTCACTCAAGGCCACTCAATATGCAATCGATCTTTCTTTCCCTGTTTTGATACGCCTGCAGTGAAGTGTACCTACTCTGCCACAGTCAAGGTATCATTGATTAATTGATATTAAGTGCTTATTAATGGTTTTTCTGCCTATTCTAGAAAGCCCAGCAATGAGAGGTTAAGTCTTCAGAACTTTCATTGAAAATTTAGGAAGAAGGGACTTGATAAACTCCCAAGAGAAACTGATTCCAGAGGCCATGTAACTTAAAAGCCTCTCTCGTTTGTATTCACGAACTTAGAGCCTGTCCACACTAGCGTAGAGTTATGGCAGATGGTTCCCTGATAGCACTGTTTGGTACAGAAGAAAAGACGTCTGCTTATGTTTCTACACCACAGAACAATCCATCCTTCCCCTTTAAGAGCTGCCTTGCCCCGAATTGGCACAAGACTAGGACAGGCAATCTTTTGGGGATAATTTCTTGAGATGCAAAATAGCTCTTTTTCTTCTGCCTTCCCAGGGGATGGGTACCTGAGTTAAAATAGATTGCACTAAAGATAAGGACCCTTTACGCATGGCTAGATCATGCCAAATGTCATGATGTGGACAGGCCCTTAAGTCACCTTTGCTTGGAGGCAAGCAAAATGATCTCCACTGATGCCTGGAGAATGTAGGTAGAACTAGCGTTGGAGGAGCTACCTGGATGTCTGTGGGAAGCTTGCATGCGAGCATGTGATGGAATCCCTCCACTCATATTCCCCAGCAATGATTATAGGGGTGCACACATGAATTTGTCCATTTGAAATCCGCCTAGGTTAGTGGCCTAGTGTTCTGCAGAAGCAAATTCTGTTGTTCATCAATTTCATATCTGAAGGAGCGTTACGTTTTTACTGTTCTGAATCACCCACCAGTCAGCTTTATTAGATGCTACAGATTTTATAGAGTCCATAGAATAATGGAGTTGGAAGAGGCCGACAAGGCCATCACGTCCAACCCCCTGCTCAAGGCAGGAGTCCAAATCAAAAGCAAATCGGACAGAGGGTGGTCCAATTTTCTCTTGAATGCCTCCAGCGTTAGAGCGATCACTCTCTCCTGAGGTCATGGGTTCCATTGTTGTTCTGCTCTAACAGTTAGGAAAGTTTTTCCTGATATTCAGCCAAAATCTGTCTTCCTGTAGCATGAATCCATTATTACGTGTCTGAGAAAAGGAAGAAAAAACGTCTTCCTATCCCATTTTTTCGATACCACTTAGGATTTACAGCTATATCCTAACCCCGTTTTACCTGCCTTCTTTTTTTTGCTGAGCCAGTGGCTTCAGAGGTTGTAACCTTGCCCAGAGTGGAATTGTTTGAACTACTGTATCTGAATAGTTTAGTTGCCCTTTTCTATTCCTGTTCTAATTCTTCCTAGCAAGGCATGGTACATGTAAGTATAGTATGCTGTGTAGAATGCATGTGTGTTTGAGCAGAATTAGAATTTGGACTATATGAGCGCAGAGTACTATCATTATTATTATTGGTGAAAATACAGATGAGATGTTTGTTTATCAGGTTGTGGTCTCCTCAGATGTCTCTTGACTGCTTTTTGTTTTGGATCTGCAGGCTCCTGCAGGCATGCAGGTATTGATGAGTGCTACTCAGAGTACCTACGAGGAACAAGAGGGTGTCTACCAGTTCTACATGGAATACCCAATCCCTGCCTATCTGGTAGCCCTTGTGGCCGGGGACCTTGTAGCTGCCGACGTGGGTCCTAGGTGAGCTGCGTTTGCCTGATATTATTTGCATTTGTGTGATGAGATGTATTGGGTTGGGTGGAGAAGATGGGTCATTACAGCTGTAGATCTGGCCACTACACGGGTTGTACTGCAAGAAACCTCTCCCTGTACTGTTCTGTTCTGGAGACTATGACGTGCGCCCCATTATCAGAAGCTTCACTTCAAGCTTCAAATGAAACATACATCTGTATGCAGACATTCAGAATTTCACAGTAGGAACCCAAACACAATAGCAGGAGTAAAAAAGAGGGAGGGAGAGGAAGACCAAATAGGAGGTGGACAGACCCACAAAAGGAAGCAACAGGCTTGTGTTCGCAAGATCTAAGCAGGGCTGTTGAGGACAGGGCATTTTGGAGGTTGCTCATTCATGGGGTCGCCGTAAATCAGGAGCAACATGATGGCACCTAACAATAACAACAATGTTGAACTTTGAAAGGTAGTCCTCCAGAAGAGGGGCAGGATCTGTTCTGAATCCTCTTAGAGTGCAGGACATGTCATAATAGGCTCAAGTTACAGGAACCCAGATTGAGGTTGAATATCAGGAAAAACTCCTTAATGGTTAGAACAGTACAACAATAGAACCAATGACTTTGGGAGATGAGTGTTCAGGAGAAAAATTGGACCATCCTCTGTCCAATCTGCTTTGATTTGGATTCCTGTACTGAGCAGGGGAAAGTATTCAGTGCCCTTAGAGGCCCCTTCCAACTCTGTGATTCTATGAACCCTAAAACACAGAATGAAGATGTATCTCTGCTTTCTTTACAACAGGAGCAAAGTCTGGACAGAGCCATGCCTGCTATCAACAGCGATCAGCAAACTCTCGGGTAGGGTTGAGCGTTGGCTCAGTGCTGCAGAGGACCTGTATGGACCCTACATGTGGGGCAGGTGAGCTTGGACTCATTTGCGTGTGTTGCTATCAATGGTATCACCAGATGTCCTCCTTGCCACACGTGCATGACTTTACACATGTAAACCTGTGCCTCGTATCCAAAAATTATTTGTGCACAGACATGAGACACAAACATGCATCAGAAATGTGGGGAAATCAGCAAGAGTTTTATTGTGTCATTGAAATACAATCATTAGATTCGTGTACCAGCTGTCTAGAGGGGTTTTCTGCTAGCAGTAACAGAGATGGAGAAGAATGGAACCGTTGGCTTTGAATTTTTCCCAAATGAAGGTGGACAATGCTGTTGAAATGATCAATCCAAGGTTGGGAGCATGTACATGGGACATATTTCATTGCATTTTAAAGGCACAGGATTGGCCATGCAAGGGATATTTACTCCTCATCTCTAAAAATGCCATGTGCTTTGAGAATTGTAACTCTACGATCTCTTCTAGACCTCTCAAACTAGTGGATCCTGATCTTGGGTCCCCAGATGTTCTGGGACTACAACTCCCAGAAGCCTTTTCACTATGAGCTGTGCTGCCCAGGTTTTCTGGGAGTTGGAGTCCGGGAACATCCAGGGACCCAAGGTTGGGAACAGCTGGCTTAAACAATCACTCTGAAGTCTTGAAAATGATGCCGCTTCTCCTTTCCTCTCTTCCAGGTACGACCTTGTGTTCCTTCCTCCTTCCTTCCCCATCGTTGCCATGGAGAATCCTTGCCTGACTTTCATCATCTCGTCCATCCTGGAGAGTGACGAGTTCCTCATTATCGATGTCATCCATGAGGTGGCTCACAGCTGGTTTGGCAACGCAGTCACCAATGCCACGTGGGAAGAGATGTGGCTGAGCGAAGGGCTGGCCACGTATGCTCAACGCCGGATCACCACAGAGACTTACGGTAAACGGCGTGCCGACGGTTCAGGTGGGCGGTGTTCCCAGGGCATTGAATCCTTGGAGGCATGGCCCAGCAGATGGGGGGAACCCATGTACTGAGTTCATGGAGACAGCCTGTTTTACCAGTAGACATGGAGTATAACTCCAGGTTATACATGGAGCAATTAATGGGAATTCTGGACCACTATGTAGCTGCAGTTCTTACTAATATAATTTGAAAATCCAAATGTTGATAACATTCATCAGAGGTGCGACTGGCCCCATTCCTCTTTGGTTTTAGGAGGCAACTTAAGACTTGGCTCTTTTTATAAGGATCTTTTCATAGCCTTGCCCCAGATTAAGTAATTTTAAATTAATTTTGATTAATTTCTGTTTTTTGTTCTCTGACAAGTTCCATTGTGAACTCGTGTACTTCTCTCTGCCGGCCACCCATTGTTTGTTTTTTGTAATCTTACTGTGCTTTATATTGTACTGTCAGAGATCATATTTACCATGATCCCTTTTTTGATTTCCCCCCCTGCATTTTCAGAAATTCTGTTGTTGTTTCTATTGCTGTTATTATGTTGTTTTGATGTTGCTCTGTTAGCTGTGCAGAGTAGTGGCTCTGCTGCTAGTTGGGTGGGATAGAAATGTCAATCAATCAATCAATCTTCAACCGGCCAACCAAAAAAGGCACAAAAATCTGTGTAGGTTGTTGCCAAAAAAGCAGTCAGGAAGGAAACTTCAGAGAGAGAAACGTGATCTTAAAAGCCATGTGGCCTGCATATGCTTTAAGATGTAGTGGAGAGGAAGCATCTGCAAACTCACCGGATGATGTAATGGTACTTGGCGTCACCTCAAAATCCAGGTGGTTGTGGCTTACCTGGTGAAGAGATATTTTCTGTTGGCTTAATAAAAGTCATGCCACTGTATGAGTTTTGGAATTTTTCTTACAGCCAACTTAGTGATCCTGCCTTTAGTATTTACCGTATTTTTCTGTGTATAAAATGACACTTTCCCCTAAAATAATCAAAGCAAAAATTGAGGGTTGTTTTATACTTGGAAGTAGGAGGGGGAGAGGGATCAAAGCCCTTTGATCCCTGCTTTCCCCCTCCATGTTTTGCAAAGAAAATGGAGGGGGAAAGCTAGGGAGGGTGGCAGGATCAGGAAGCAGGGCAAAGGAAAGAGGATCATGGAGGAACTTAGTGTGAAGGGAGTGGGGCAAGGAGTGAATCACAGAATCATGAAGTTGGAAGGGGTTTCTAAAGGCCATCGAGTCCACCCCCACTGCTCAAGCCAGGAATCCAAATGAAAGCAGATCGGACAAGGTCTGTTGTCTGTTTATTTTTTTTCATGAATGCCTCCAGTATTGGACCCCCCTCTCACCTCTTGAGCTAATAGAAGAAGTGAGCAAAGAGGTGCAGACCGCCAGCACGGCAGAGACCCAGGGAGGTTGATGTTCACACTCAGCTTTGGGTGTTTTTACATTTTTATGCATGCAGACCAACCAGAGTAGTGGCATGCCACGATGACAGGTGGGATAAAAAGTCAAATAAATAAATACAATAAATAAGTCGACCCAATATTTTTCAGGCCTCAGGTCTCTCAATAGGTGCATCTTTTTGGGACAGGTGCAGCCTTTACATGTCTGGAGACTGCCTTCCGTCTGGATGCCCTTCACAGACAGATGAAGCTCCTTGGGGAGGACAACCCCGTCAGCAAGCTTCAGGTTAAGTTGGAACCAGGTACGTCTGAAGCGGGAGAGAAACCGGTGGGGCCTTCTGGGTTTTTATAAAACTGGAAATTTGCTGCTCAATTGAAATCTTCTGAGATTCTTTTTATCATTTCTCTAATCCCTCTCCTTTCCCCTAAAATAACGGACAGATGTTAGGGACCGTTTCCGCCATATAAACTGAAGGGGGACCCATCACATGACAGGTCCACCAGCTTACTTTGGGTCGTGGACAAGTTGTATGCTAGTAATTTAAATCGAAGACTCTCCTCTTGGGTCGATGATAAAAATATTTTAGGAAATGAACAGGCAGGCTTTAGAAAGGGCAGATCAACAATAGATCACTGTACAGTATTGCCGTAAACCATTTTGCTGAGAAATACACGACCTCTTATGGCAGTGGTATGTCCAATGCTTTTATAGACCTAAAATCTGCCTTTGACTCTATATGAAGATACAAACGATGGTTGAAGTTGCCCCCATGCTTCTATAGATAAGGGACTCCTCTCTCTCTCTCTCTTTTCGAATGCCCCTATCGGGGCACCGGGCTTCATGTAAGATGTGGGATAGAAGGAAATCTGAGAAAATCTATCCCTGCCACAAGGGGGTTCAGCCAGGGCTGTAGATTAGCCCCCGTGTTATTCAGTCTCTACTTAAATGATCTGATAGAGTTGTTGCCTGGCATTAGATTTCCATCAATCTAGTTTGGTGGTGATCAAATGTCCCTTACTGTTGCATGTGGAGGATGCTGCTTGGCTGTCCTGCTGGAACATCTGTAGGATATTTACACCTTCTACTGAAAGATGTCTCTTATTCATTCTTGGTTTTAAAACGTTTCCTATTAAAATGCATTTTAGGTCTGTCTGTGGATTTTCTTCACACCCCTGAGCTCAAGGCAGCTAAGTCTTACGTTAGAAAACGTGATTAGGGATATCCATGTCCAATATTCCATCTGACCGTTCAGCCTGGAGGCAGGCAGTGCTTCACGGCCTCTCCCAATTTGAAGAGACCCTTGTCCAGCAGGACGAGGCAAAGAGGAAGTCACAAAAGCAGCAAAACCAGGGAGCTGGACAGGGGACAGATTCGATTTGTCTTCAGTGTGGAAGAGATTGCCACTCTCGAATTGGCCTCTTCAGCCACACTAGACGCTGTTCCAAGTCCTCCATACAGAGCACGACACCATAGTCTTTTGAGACTGAAGGATGCCTAACTAACTAATTCCATATTAAATGCCCACAAAACCTTCTCATCTCTTTATTTTGGTCTGAACTTTGTATTCTTTCAAAGCGTCAAGTATTTGTAAAATTTGACACACACACACACACAAAATACTGGCAAGTCAGGAGCCCTTCCATCTGCAATTTTAGATGGGCACTATTGTGGTGTGCTGTATGAAAATTGATTGTGGCACACCATAATGAATACCAAAGAAGTATCACTTGCCTTTTTTTGCAGCCGCATGACACTGTTCAGCTTGTGATCTGCAACAATTCCAAGATCCTTCTCACGTCCTGTATTACAGAGCCAAGAATCCTCCCTCTTTTAATGATGGATTTTTTTCTTTTTAATTATGAATTTTTTCCTTTTGTAGAACTTTGCACTTATCCGTGTAAAATTTCATTCTGTTGTTTTCAGCCCAGGGCTCGATCCACAACTTTTTGAACGCTGTTTCTGCCTTCCAAGGTATTAGCTCTTCCTCCCAGTTTTTTTTAATGTGGTGGCGCTGCAGGTCAAACCGCAGAAGCCTCTGTGCTGCAAGTTCAGGCGACCAAGCAGTCATAAGATTGAATCCACGCAATGGAGTGAGCTTTTGTCACTTGTCCCAGCTCCTGCCAACCTAGCCATTTGAAAGTGTGTAAATGCGAGTAGATAAATAGGTCCCACCACTGTGGGAAGGTAACAGCGTTCTGTGTCTAGTAATGCTGACCACGTGACCACGGAAACTGTCTACGGACAAATGCTGGCTCTATGGCTTGGAGACAGGGATGAGCATTGCGCCCTAGAGTCAGACACGACTGAACTAAATGTCAAGGAGAACCTTTGCCTTTTACCCAATTTTTTTTAATCCACAACTTTCATAAGCATTCCCTGTACCCCTTCATCCAAGTCATTAATAAAAACCATGTTTAACAATATGGAAGTGTAGTCGCTCAACATCTCACCCTTTCCTCCTTCCTCTTCCCCATCCTCTGTGTTAGTTTATGAAGTTTGACCGGGGGGGGGGGAACCTCCTGTTTTAATCACTTGTTTGCTTGCTTGCTTATGGTTATTATGCTTTATACTGTAATAAGTACACTTGGTGTGTTGTAGAATTACTATTTTTTTAATGGGTTGAAAGAAATGGTTGTTGACCAAAGAAAGGTTTGCCGGTCACTTGGCCTACAGTCTTTAAAAAGAAAAAAAAATTGTTCTCCTCTTTACAGGTGTGAATCCTAGCAATCTGATGAACCTCTTCACGTATGAAAAAGGTTACTGCTTTGTTTACTACCTGTCTCAGCTCTGTGGAGACCCAACACGCTTTGATGCCTTCCTTCGAGTTAGTAACTTCTGTTTCGGGGTGGGTTGTACCACACCTGTGTGTGATGTGTTTGTATGTGACAGGTGGCGTCTTTGTACCTTTCAGTGGAGGTCAGTGGGGCAAAGAGTACGCAGCAGTGGATAAGAAGGGACGAAGGAGGGAGAGTCAGGCCTCAGGCTATTACCGTGAATGAACAGGAGCATGTGAACATTGGTTTTCAGGACATGGTTAGCTGAAAAATATCACTGAAAAGGAATGATCCTTCTAATTCCCCACCAGCACTGAGTGGAAAACCTGCCCCATGTGCACAAAATTTCAGCTGCAGTCAGAACCAAATGAACGGCAACACTTAACTGCAGGTGCACTGCACCCGTAGAACGCTGTCGCCCAGCTTAGAGGGAACATGGCTAAAAAGTATTTATATGTTACTCTGGTGCCCCGTTTGAAACGACTCAAAATAGTTTATGAAGGAGCGGGAAGAGATGTCCCAGGCCAGTGGCAGAGATGGCTGACTGAATGCCAAGCAAATCAGTTTTGATTTCCTCAGCCGTGGCTTCTAGCTCCTGCAGGTTTAGTCTGAATGGTGTGTTCTGCGTTGCCTAGAAATTTCATCCGTAGCCCATGGGAATAGTGGCACCGCCTGCCATCACCACTGCAAGCTTCTGGGGGCATCCCGTGTTTTATTTCAGTGTTTCCCTTGGCCGCCTTCAAGGCTTCAGCATGGATTAATTTAAAGGAAGATCTTGTGACAGGGGATTGATCTCCAGAGGGAAGGACATGTAGTGGACATGTGTGTCAGCAGCAGCCTTCTTTTACAGAAGCTACTCTTTTCTGCCTTCTCTCGGAGAAGCTGTGCTCTCTTCAGGTTTTCTTCTAGCACGTCCGAGCCCTCCCTCATGGCATCACCTGTCTGTGCCCCAGTAACAGCTTTCCCTTCTCCACGGGGACACTCCTCAGCCTTTTCCTTGAACCTGACTGTCTCCTTAACCCGTTCCCCCCTGCCTCCCTTGCAGGCCTACATCGAGAAGTACAAGTTCACGAGCGTTGTGGCCCAAGACCTCTTGGATTCCTTCCTGGCTTTCTTCCCAGAACTGAAAGAACAGTGCATTGATAGCAAAACAGGTAGGAAAGAGCCAGCAAACAGAGCTGTAATGCTTGGAAAAGGAATATTTCAAGGGAACTAAATTGGAAGGGGGAGGGGAAGACACAAGCTCAGAAGAAAAGACAGAGGAAGGCTTCGGCACAAGGAGAGGAACTGACAGAGCAGCTCTAGCAGGGCCTAATAATAGTCTTCACAGAAAGGTGAAAGGAAGGAAAGCAGGCCACAAACCACTATCTTCAGTGTCTACACATGGATGCCAGGAGCATCCATCAGATCTGTTTGGATTTGGATTCTTGCCTTGAGCAGGGGGTTGGACTCAATGGCCTTAGAGGCCCCCCTTCCCAACTCTGTTATCCACGTGGAAAGAGAATATGTGTCATCCTGGCTGAGTAGAGTGGAGTGAAGGGTTCCTCTCCCCCTAGTTTTTGTGGACTTGATGGTCACATGCGATCTGTAGCCTTAACTCAAAGTATAGGAAGGAAAAAGCAGTGAAAGAACAGCTCTCTGTCAAATTTTGTAGGCACGTGTGTGTTTGTGTGTGTGTGTGTGTGTCTGTGTGTGTGTGTGTGTGAGAGAGAGAGAGAGAGAGAAAGAGAAGGAGGGAGGGAGGGAGGGAGAGAGAGAGAGAGAGAAAGATTTAGCTTCTCTGTGCACTACAAAATCTTCAGGCACTCTAAGGCACTGGTTCTTAACCTTAGGTTACCCAGGAGTTTTGGACTGCAACTCCCAGAAGCCTTCACCACCAACTGTGCTGAATGGGGTTTCTGGGAGTTGCAGTTCAGAAACATCCGAGTAACAAAGGTTAAGAACCACTGCTCTAAGGGACTGGGGTGTGCATAGTTACTGGCACAGAAGATCTAGGAGCAGAAGCTGTGGTCAGAGAGACATGATGTAGTAGTAATGGAATATTTCTATTTTATATAATTGTGATGCTGCATGTCACGGTCCTTGTGAGCCATGGAGATGGGCAATCCATATTCTACTGAAGGGAATGATTCTGTTGTTACTTTCGCCTTGACTGGAAGGCTCACGGTTGAAGTTTAACCCAATATGAACTTATACATCGTTAAAACTCCTCAAAATAGTCAGTAATCAAAAAGAAGGCACTCCAAGACTCATCCAGGCCAGCCATTCCCAATGGCAGCCGGATGGGCCCCCGGGGTGGGGGGGCTGGTCTATTTGAAGGGGGGCCACAAACTGGAAACAGTCCGTCACACACCACCTTGTAAAGTTCATTATACAACTTACACAG